AGGCAGAACAGAAACACTATAAAAAGACAGACACACAGGAAGTAGCTCTGGTTTGGAGAGGTAGGACCACCGCAGGAGAAAGGGTAAGGTTTTAGTTCTTAGCTCTGACCTCTTGGCTTTCTTCTTTGCATTGGTTCTGTGTTTCTTATTTAATAAGAAGGTTGGTTACATCTACACAAAATGATACAATTTTGTCTGCAGTTGCCATAACCTTTTAGAGTTAACTACAGTTAACCTAGTAGTACATACAGGCATTTCGATGTGAATATGTTTAAAACAGAGATAAAGTTTTCGGTTTTGTTTTTGTTCTTTTTGTTTGTTTGTTTTTCATTTGTTTGTTTGGCTTTGGTTTTTTTTGTTTGTTTGTTTTTTGTTTTTTGAGACAGGGTTTCTCTGTTCTTTCCTGGAACTCACTCTAGCCCAGGCTGGCCTCGAAATCACAGAGATCCACCTGCCTCTGCCTTCCAAATGCTGGGTTTAAAAAGGCATGCGCCACCCTCTCAAACCCTCCCTCCCTGCCCCCAGCTTGAGATAAAGTTTTAAAATAACAACTTCTAACTTCTAAAATTCAATCCCTTTTCTAAGGGAGTAACAGGGGAAAAAAATAGGCCATACCCTATAAATTGTTTGGAAGTTTAAAATCTCTATCACAAAATACCATAAAGCAACTGTTCATGCAAACACACATTTGAGTAGATGATATCTGGTGATCTGAAGGGGTCCCTAGCAAACTGGAGCCCTTGTGGGCCTCAGACAGTGGGGACACCTTCATCACAGGTGACAGACAATAAAATGAGTGCTGAGTAGTCGGGACTTGGTTACTTAAGAGCAACTTGAAACCCACATTTCTTGAAGGATCTCCTTAGGCTAGAGAGATACTCAGTGGTTAGGAGCACTGTCTGCTCTTGCAGAAGACCTGTGTCCCAGTCCCAGCGTCCACACGGTGGCTCACAGCCATCCGTAATTCATTTCGGAGGATCTGATACCCACTTCTGGCCTCTATGGGTACTGTGTGCATGTTGTACATTTTACATGCCTGCAGGCAAAACAGCCCCACACAACTATTTTTTTTAAGTAAAATAAATTTAAAAAAAAAAAAAAGGATCTTGTGGAGTTGAACTGTGGATCAGCTCCTGGAGGACACTGTTTATATCGGACTCCATTGAGTTCTGAGCCCTTTGAGGAAAAAAAAAAAAAAACCTTAATTGTGGGTGTGGTTCACATTTTGTGTGCAAAAATGCAAAATTCTTTTCTAGGAACTGAAGAACCGAAAGAAACATTTTTTTTAACTTTGATTTTATTTATTCTTTGTGTCTTGCACATCATGCATTTCAATCTCATTCATTTCCCATCCCTTCATTCCTGCCCTCTGCCCTTGCAACTTCCCCCTACAAAATAAAATAAAATTTAAGACAAAAAAAGAAAGAAAAGAAAACAGGAAAAATCTCACCATGGAAGCTGTAGTGTGACACAGTGGGTCACACAGTAAAACCTTTTGTCCATGTATCTTTACTTGCAAGTGTTCATTACAGAGTCATTGGTCTGGTTCGAGGCCTCTGGTTTCTACTACACTATTGATACTGGGCCCTCACTGGGCCGCCTCTTGGATATCCTGTTATTAGATATCCTGTGTCGTAGAGATCCTGCAGCTTTGGGTCTGCAGGTCAGGTCATTTCACATGCTCCAGCAGATCACAGATGGGGTAGATGTTGAGGTGGACCAACTCATAACCCTGGTTCTGGGCCTGGGTAGTTGCCTGGTTGGTCAGCCTACCAGCTCTCCCCTGTCCTCAGCACCAGGGTGAAGCTCTCCAGCATTGCTCTGACTAGCTCACCCCTCACAGCAATGAGCAAAGGGGCGGGGCCAGTTCTCCTGCATTCCTGCCCTCGGTTTTGGTTGGCTCCTCCACACCTACACCTTCAGGGCCAACTCTACTGTTACCCAGGCCAGGCTCAGAGTGCTACAGCTGGTGAGGGGCAGGGACGGGACGCTCTACCATGCTTAGGACCTCAGAACCAGCTCTCCCACCTGCTACAGGCAGCAAGGGGCGGGGCGGGGGCGGGGCATCTCTGACTGGCCCACACCACCCACCGTATGGTAGATGAAAAGCAGGGCCAGATCTCCCAAGATTAAGTTCTCAGGGACAGTTCACCAGCCCACCCCCGTCCCCCCACCTACCCCCCACCTCCATCAATAAGGTCAGTTCCATAGTGCTGCACAGGTGAGGTGCAGGGTCCACTTTCCCAAGTGCTGCAGCTGGTAAGATGGGGGATCAGCTCCCTTGCCCACCACAGGTGACCGGGACAAGTGGGGAGGGCACTCTCACCATTACATGGAGGAAACATTTTTAAATGCTTATGCCTGGGTCTTATTAGATATGCCAATTCAGACGTTAGAGGTAAACGTCTGAATCAGCATATCTCATAAGATCTAATAACGTCTAAAGACAGGTGTATTTTCAAAACTCTCTCCAGATGATTGTGCTGCACATTTTTATTTATTTATTTTGCCTGGGGAAACAAAAGAGCATCGTTTCTACTTTTTCTCTCACAGGTAGACCAGTTTTCTTTATCATTTCAGGATTTGGCCAAAAGAGAGAAACAGACAAACACTGCCTTTGCTGAAAACTCCGTTTCACTTGCAAGATAGGGGCAGAAGTAGCAATAGAAATTTCAAAATACAACTGGATTATGCAAAAATGCAGCATAAAAATCTCCCAAGTCCCAGTAAAGCATTGTAGATTTCAGAGTAGACTTTAGGCTCTTATCCAAGTGGCAATTTCTGTCCGACAAGGGTCATTTCACGGTGAATCACTTGTTTTTCCCTTTTTTGTTTTCTGTATAATTGCTACCTAATCATTGACAGTCTGATTTCTTCAGAGTTCTACTAAAATTCACCTCTGGGCACACTTGTTAACTAGTAATGTTCCCTAATTAGGAATTATTATCACCAAACTGAAGAGCACAGAATAAATATAATCATTTTCCAAAAAAAAAATCAAGATTTCTTCATATTTTTCCCTCAATTATCAAATTATCATATTTGTATGAGTATTTCTCCTCAACTTCCCTTTCTAGTTTCCCTTCTTTGGCTTTACCATTCACAGCCTGATCACATGACATAACTTGTCTGCAGCATCCAGATGCCCATTTATCAGAAAACACTTCTTTCTCATTTAAGATAAAGTTGCTATCAAAAAGGCAAACGTGTTGGGTGTCATTTCTAACTAACCAAGGAAAAGCTTTTGTCAGACTTAAAAACAGGCAAATCAGAGCTTTAGCAGATCCATTGCTTTGATAAATATTTGTCAGAAATGCATTCCAGAAAGCTGCACTGTGCAGTACTTCCTTAAAAGTACCAATATTTAAAGTGGTGTCTTCAATGGTTGAGTTACTTCAAAAAAACATTTCCATTAGAGGACTAGAGCTTTGAAAAGACAGAAAACTGATGCTACGTACACATGGCTGTGAAAATCTGTGTGTTTCAAGTGCATTTGAATTAAAGGTGGGTGGTGTATACCTCGTTTACTGCTTCAATGCTGGCCCTGTATTCAAGCAGCTTTGCGGCTGTTTTGACATCCCCGTTGTAGACAGCGTAGTGCAGAGCGGTGTTGCCACGACAGTCGATAATATCTGGATCAGCACCATACTTCAGCAGAATGTCAAGGCATTCTGTCTGTCTGCATTGTGCAGCCTGTGGATGTAACACCAACACATAGAATGTTAAAGAACTCCAGATCAGCAATTCCACAGGCTTCCATAGTTAGTTACATTTAAATGATGTAAGCTTTATTTTTTTAATGTAAAAATGTATTTCAAATTCATATCATTTGAAACTGATGGCAGTAACATACCTTAATTAGAGGTGTGGCATCTTTAATGTCCTTTGGACTAATCTCACAGCTGTTCTCCACCAGGAAAGCCACCACCTCTGGGTGGCCATAGACACAGGCAAAATGCAGGGCAGTTCTGTGAGTGCAAAAGGGATTTTTATGAACTTAAAGAATATTTTCTCAAAACTTACACATGCAGTTATAATCACCGATAGCATTTAAGGCCCCTGCATTTTAAAATTTGATTTTTCTTCTGAAGAAAAGCCATTATACTGCCTCTTAGTGGAAGGATCAGACAATTTCACTGGAGTCAATATTCCCTGATGTGGGCTGTTTCTGTGTTTTAGGATATAGATTCTTCCCGTCGACCAGCCTGGAGCCAGGGTCAAGGACCCTTCTGAACAAAGTACCATATGTGTCAGGGAGCACTCAGCTTCAGATACCACAGCCCTGATGATTGAGAACTGGTAGGACCTGGGCACCGCTCATGGAACCCGCTCCTCTTAGGGCACCAATGCATAAGAACCTGGAGAGAGCGCAGTGATGGAACACTGGGGACCCATGCATCTGCCTAGGAAGGATTGGGAAAATGAAGTGACCCAAAGGTGGGACAAAATTGAAAAGTCAAGAGGAGGTTAGTGATTTGAAAGCTGTCAAAGATGTCAATGAGCCTTACCGTGTGATAGAAATCATTGGAGTTAACTCTTGTGGGGAAACCAATACTCGTCATCAAATCCTAATATAAATACATAGTGGCTTATAAGGACGACACCAAATGACCCTTCAGGAGTGCTTAAAGTCGTGAGGGAGGAGCTCTAAGTACCGAAAACCATGAAGTGAACATGGTATCCACAACTAAAGGAGAGGAAACAAGTGAATACATAGGAGAATGCAAACCGTCTTCTCTTGTAGGTTCTCTCAGGAAACAATGTACCTTCCTGCACACATGGATACATAGGAATACACTGACATAGTATCAACTTTTGCTTAAAAAAAGAAAACCTCTTAGGTGGGAAGTTGATACACACTAGAAATTTCTCTTACTCAGTTTTCCACAATGTGTATGACATTATGTCCCCGCCCCCAATGGATACACGAAAGCTGTATTATACAGCTTTGTTGAAATCCTTGAGAAGGCCAGTCAGTGCTCTAGACGGAGAACTGTGAAGGATGTGAAACACTACTTGATTTGTTTCTCTGTTAACGAGGACCAGTTGGGTGGGACACCCTTCTCAGATGTGCATCCTAAGATTAATGACAGATGCTTCTCTTTTCTCCCCTCAGACAGGAAGCTGGCCTTCTCCCCAGTCACCGTGCCTCGCTCCAAGGTACCCACCTGTCGTCCACTCTCCCCCCGCCCCCGCCCCACTGTTACCTGTACTTCCAATCTATTTGTTCCAGGACAAACACTCCCCGTTTGACGAAGCTCTTCACGGTGTCTATGTCGCCCATGCTCGCAGCCTTGTGGATAGGATAATAAGGGGCATAGCTGGTGTGGTATTTGGGCGGCTGACAGCCTCTCTCATCCTCGTTCCCAAAGCCCATGAAGATCTTATCCAGGCCATCACAGAATCCCAGGGGCGTCCTTTCCTTTTTGGGGAAGAATATCTCCATGGTAAATGTTGTCTGCTTCACAGGCCCCTTCTTTCCCGCTAAGCTTCTCCTGCATCCCCAACCCGAAATAAGAGACTATGCCAAGATGGCCTCTCCCAAACCCAGAACCAAGGTTTATAGTAAGCCAGCTCCTAAATGTTTGAATATGGAAGGAAACTCAGAGCCAAGTCTTGCCACAATGTCTCAGTAGGGAAGCTCCGTGCTGGCTTAGTAGCAGATGCAGTTGGCAACGTGGTCGCCAAGCAACACTGGTAAACACACAAGCAAGCTGGTGCCCAGGCTCGTGCGCACATTCTCTTTGGAGAGCTGTCCAGTATGTTAGCAGGGAAGGTGCTCAATGCGCATGTGCAGAAACCGATACTCAAAAATCAGCTAGAAAGCCCACTTAACGTTCCCTCAAATGAAATACTAACCACCCCATCACCTCCATGCAGATCTAGGGGCAGTCAAAGAAGTTTTCTTTTCCATTTAGTTTTCGGGAATATTTTATTTTCTTTCCTGGTTTCTTCCGCGACCTACTCCTCATTCAGTAATGAGTTGTTTAATCTCTGAGTTTGTAGACATGCTAGAGATTTGTTTGCTGTCAAATTTATGTCTTACTGAAGAGATTCAAGCCATTAACAACTGTTGAGAGAAGGAGAATTGGTTTTCCCAGGGATGAGCTTTTTGATTTGTTATTGTGCTGGCTAGTCTTATGTCAACTTGACACAAGCTAGAGTTATCTGAAGCTAGAGTTATTTGTTTTTTGGTTAGTGATTTATGTGGGAAGGCTCAGCCCATTGTGGGTGGTGCCATCCCTGGACTGGTGGTCCTGGGTTCTATAAGAAAGCAGGCTAGAGAAGCCATGGGAAGCAAGCCAGTAAGCAGCACCCCTCCATGGCCTCTGTATCAGCTCCTGCCTCCAGGTTCCTGCCCTCTTTGCGTTCCTGTCCTGACTGCCTTTGATGATGAACAGTGATATGGAAATGTAAGCTGAATAAACCCTTTCCTTCCCAATTTGCCTTTGTTCATGGTGTTTCATCACAACAATAGAAACCCAGGGTGTCTATAAACATATACATGCAGGCAATACTGAATGAACTCAGCAGGTTATTATTATATAATTTTCCATTTATAGGTTTTGTAACAGCGATAATTAGAGTAGAGAGGTTTGGAGGGGAACATAGATAGAGTAGAAAGGAGGGAAGAGGGGGAAATGATGTAATTATATTTTAAATGAATAAAGGAAAAATATATTGGTATAAACACAAATATTGTTGTTTCAACACCAGGACAAATGGCTGAGGTATTTATTTAACATATTGAAGTGGGCCTGGCCTCCAGGTTTTCCCAGTTTCCCTTAGTCCCTACCTGTAACAGGGTATGGCTTACATATCCCACCCTCTATCCTAAACTCTCCAATCCAGGGACTGGGCTGCCCCTCCCCAGAGGCTCGTCCCTATATAATCCAGACATTTTGGTTGCCCGCCCCTTTTGTCCCTTTGGCCTCCTGGCTGCTGCACCTGGTTCTCTCTCTCCCTTCTCCCCACATGACCCATTTCAGTCTGGTCAGGTCCACTCTGGACTCTCCCAGATGTCCCAGACTCTCTATGCTCTCCTACATATCTACAATAAACTTTCTCCTCCACCACACCTAGGAGCAGTCATGTCCTTTCCTTTCCTTTTTATTTTTTAATTTATTTTTTCATTCCAGTATGACATGCACATGTAGATATCTCCCTCAACATGGAATTTTCTGAGATTCTTTGTTATTAGTATTATTCATACATATTAGCACATTCATACATGTGTATTTTAATTTCTAAGTTTATTATTCATATATATTAGTACATTCATACATGTGTGTTTTAATTTCTAAGTTTTTAAATTAAAATATTAAGTGCCTCATTTAAATTAAAGATAAATTAAATATGTGCAATTCTTTGTTAAAAACAAACATTTTCTCCTGACAAAAGAAAGGAAAGTGTGTGTGAAAGAGAAACTCCTTAAACTGAAGGACTATTGTGAGCATCATGACCGGAGTGTGCAGAGAGAGCCTGCTGCACCTTGCTGAGTTATGTACTCTGTGGTCTCCAGCAACTCTGCCTCCTTCGTGTCCCTCCATAACAATGAATCCAGTGGAAACCTGTGGAATTGCTAACCAGCTCCAGCCCTCTTTACAAGAACCAGGTAACTCCTCAAATGGGGAGACATTTTGGAGGAGGACCCTGCTGACCACTCCGGGTTTTCCCATGGCCTCCCTCTTCAGTCCTAAGTAGACACGTTGTGATGCAAGCAACACATTCCTTTGAATCCCTTCAGCCTCAGAATTCCAGAGTCTTTTTGATGGCATCACAGTGCCGCCTGCCTGTCCCATGCCTGCTCTCCCTCAACTTCCCTCTCCGTGGGACAAGAGCATCTTCTTTCCTTAAAGGCAGAACTCATCCCTGCTGCTCAGAATCTTCCAAGTTCTTTCCAATCGTGATCATAACCTTTAAAATATTTACCACTTCATTTTTCAAACTAACATTTGCTTCCAGAAATTTAAGCCACCCATGCAGCCCCCAAAACTTATAGTGGTATAAAATAGGTGGCCTTTATGGTAGAGCTGGATGCTGGAAAAAAAAAATTCAGGAAATCCTCTGGGACTGAAAATACAGCAGCAATGACTACTGGACGTAAGCGCATGTGTGGATGCTGCGGCCACTCAGAGCGAGGGTTTCCAGGTTTAGTACGCCAGGCTTGTGTTATGAGGCTCAGGGCAAGGCAGGATGAGGCTTAGGCCTGCAGGATGCTGAGTGTCAAAACCGCTACCCTCTGTAGAAAGTCTGGTTCCTGCAAGCTTGCTATTCAGAGGGAAGGGCAAACCAGAGGAAATGGTTTGCTCCATTGGCCTAGGAAGACATAAGAGGCTTTCTTTTCCTCATCTGGGCTCGAGGATAAGTTCCCTTGAGAAACTGTGACATTAGTTCCAAGAACCCCATGCTGAGAAACAGGTATAAACTGAGGTAGGGGCGGCAGCAACTCCCCTTGGCAGCTAACAAACAAGCAGGATCGCTCTGCAGGATTAAACTCTTGTCTAGCTGTAAAATAAAGGATAATTATGCTACAATCCACAAAACCAGAGAGACTAGGTGACAGGGAAGGTTCGTGGGAGAATACCTGAATCTCCCTGAGAAGGGGAAAGAGAAGAGATTTCGTGAGTGGACTAAGGTTGGTGGGGATGGGAACATGAGCGATCAGGTTTGCGGGAGAAGGGGGGTGGCCGTGGAGGGAGAGGGTATTGAAAGAGATACTGGAAAAGCGGCGGAAGCATTTCAGGATCAGGTCAAAGACTGGCTGGCACAAAGCAATCTCCCAGGAATCTCCAACGATGACCCCAGCTAAGACTCCTAGCAATAGTGGATTCATAGCTTGAACTGGCCATCTCCTGTGACCAGATTGGTGCCTACCCCAATTGTCATCTGAGAGGCTTCATCTACTTTTATTTCTTAACAGCAGCACGGATTTCTGAAAGCCCTAATAACTTCCATGCTCTTCCACTTGGCTCACCTCAGCACAGACCATTTATGTTTGAGAGGCCTGCCCTCTGCTGGATTATTGAAATATTACATGCCAGATTTCAGGGTTTGCCCAAATTAGGTCTCATATATGGAAGTACCAGTTGTTAAGTGTTTTGAAAAACATAAATAAAATTTTTTTGATATATTTTCCTGAAAGTCTTCGAAAAATTTACATAGACATTTATATGTATTTCACATATTTTCTGATTATACCAGATCAAAAATCCTCAAACAACAAACAAACAAACAAAAACAGTTAATGACCCAAGATGCAATACTAATAATGGTAAATATTTTGTTCATTCCAGGCCTCTGCAATCACTCATTGTGACCCTATGGAACAAAATCTGTATATCATTGCCTCTGCTCTACAGAAAGGCTCAATGAGATAGAGTTTCCTCAATGTCATCCCACCTAACTACCCTACAAATTCTTCCTGCTTTTTCTGGTCTACATCTCCCACAAACTAGCCATAGCTGGTTGGACCAGAATAGTCACCAAAGCCAGATTAGCCAAATTCTTTTGAGGGGAAATTCGAAATCAGACTACATAAGCCTTGAATCCTACCATGGAAGAGCAACTCTCTGCATAGAGAGTCAGGAAAACAATGATCAGAAAGATGACTTTAAAAAAAATAATCACCGGGCAGTGGTGGCACACGCCTTTAATCCCAGCACTTGGGAGGCAGAGGCAGGCGGATCTCTGTGAGTTCAAGGCCAGCCTGGTCTACAGAGTGAGTTCTAGTGCAGACTCCAAAGCTACACAGAGAAACTCTGTATCAGAAAAAAAATCAAATGGTTTACATAGACAAATGAAAGTCAATCTATAGTTCCTCCTAGGGCCCTCTACTGCTGTGGATATTGCTCTGTATAAATAAACACTGATTGGCCAGTAGCCAAACAGGAAGTATAGGCGGGACTAACAGAGAGGAGAACTGAGGGAACAGGAAGGCAGAGGAGGAGACAGCTGGAGCTGCCACCAGGACAAGAAAGATGTAAGGTACCAATAAGTCACGAGCCACATGGTAACGTATAGAATAATAGAAATGGGCTAAATATAAGAGTAAGAGCTAGACAATGATAGGCCTGAACTAATGGCCAAGCAATTTAAATAATATAAGCGTCTGTGTGTTTATTTTATAAGTGGGCTAAGGGACTGACAGGGCTTGGCGGGACCCCGAGAAAAAACTCTAGCTACAAATGGTGCCCAACGTGTTGGCAAGAGTTTCCACCTAAAACCTGAGTAAAAAGATTCTAAAACGGAGCTAAAAACAGTTCTTAGTTGTCTCTTTCAAGTTAGCAGCAGCCTGTGTGTTTGAACTACTATCTACTATGGCGGGTTCCTGGCGTGTGCGCAGGACCTGCAGTATGGCGGGAATGAGGCCTCTACAAGTGGCACATTAAGCTGCGTGGTGTATTTAGCCTTTGCTAGTACAAAACAAAAAGAGGTTTCTGGGCTACACACTGCTTTGATAGAAGCATAAACCCACTATTTCTGAGAGTTGATGGCTCCCAGAGCTGGCAGAAAATGTACCACCGCCATGTTGGGAAGCTGAAGTGAGCAGAGCCAGCAGCCACAGCGCCTTTTCAGTCTTAGAATGCTACAGTTTAAAATAATAGGTTCACAATAAGACTGATTCAGATAAAATAGTTTGTAATGTATATAAAAAATGTACGTAGGCTTGAAAGAGAATATATATATATATATATATATATATATATATATATATATATATAATTATATACACAAACAAATATATAAACAAATCCCCAAATATACCATGCTGGCTTTGGAGATGGAATTAGTTCATTTCTTCTCTAAACCCAAATATATTCCTAAAATAAAAGGTTAAAAGATTCTTTTGTCCCACATCAAAAGAGCCCTCTGGTGTGGAACAGACAAAAACCAATATTTTTATTTAAAACAGGTTGATTATAAATACAATCTCTTTCTAAAGAAGAAAAGGGGATATGATATAG